TTTGTTTTGTTTTTAGTGCATTTTGTTTTGTTTTTCGTGTATTTTGTTTGGAAGTCGGTTTTGTTTTTTTATTAAAAAGTTTTTAAATAACTAATCGGTTTAAACTGTGTTTTATCTTCTAGAAAAGGGTAAATCTTGCGAGCAGCTATAAAGTTTGTATATGATTATATCTGCTAAGTCTGTCATAAAGGTTCGTACAGAATAAAGACGGAAATAATCAGTACAAAATTACTCATAACCTCTTAACCTAACAGATAAAACAAAATTGTAGATTCATAACAAGATACATTTAAAATAAGACTATTTAAAGCGTGTAGTGGTCTCTATCTAAGCGTCAGTAACATTTGATAACAAAGGGCACAATGAATGATAGATTAGAAACACTATGGACTACGAGTAAATCGATATTACTATTGCTTTTGTTATAAAAATACTCTCTATTTTATAACTAATAGTAAGAGAAAGTACGATATTTTGTAAGGAAAGGGGCCTTTAAAGCAGCAAAAGTATGCGAAAAGATGCATCTCGAGCATATTATTAATGCTTTATTCTTTGTAAAAGTTGTTGTAAAGCAGGTTTTTCGCATGGTCAAATGTCAACGACCTTATTTCGGTAATAACGTTCAAGCATGTTTTATTTTATTGTACAAATTGCTGTATTTTTGGTGGTTTCTTGTATATTATAATAAAGGATATTCTGTAAAATCTGTCTTTTATCTTTTATCGTAATTAGAGTCAGTTGTTGTTATGTTCTAATTATCTATACTAATATTATAAAGAGGAGTGATTTATATTTTTGTATGTATTGAAATAACTCAAAAACTACTGGGCCGATTTCAAAAATTCTTCCACCAATAAAAAGCTACGTTATTACTAGTTTCATGCGAGCGAAGTCGCGAGCAACAGCTAGTAAGTCATAAATCAAATGATATAAGAAACCAGGGATTTCGCAGGACTCTATTAACATTTAACTTGGTCGGCCGTTTATTTGCCTACAACTAGAAAACATAGTTATTTTTCATGTTCATTAAAATCATAAGTATGATGGAAAAAAATAAGCAATCTTGGCTTATCACAGGTAATTGCACGAATCTTGATAAAATAAATTCTTTTTGCGTATATAGATAATTTATATGCGTAAAAACTTATAATAATTTTACGTAATTATTCAATGTATTTCCTTTGTTTTTTATTTAGAAACCCTGATCATGTTTACCAGCGCTTTTTGACCGACTTTCAAAAGAAGGAGCCAAACTCAATTCGTCTTTGTTTTTACTCATTTTAATGTGCATGAATCTTCCAAAGCTATAAAACGTTCATACTGGTATAAGACCTTTACGACTCCGGGGTTTTAATTAAAAATTATGGGTTTAATAAGCATTACTAATTTTGAATGTAAATTTTATCCAATTGTTATTTAATTTAACATGAGAGAAATGAAATATTTAATTACTTTCGGGAAGATTTTTATCTTTGCTAACGTGGTTGTTATTATAAAATTTTTTGTGGTTATCAAATAGCCCGAAACATTGATTATTGGAATAAATTTCAATTTATTTAATGAAACAAATACATAAATGTGTTATTTTAAATATGGCCTTGTTAATGTTATAAATTAGCTCTGTTAGAATAAAATTGGTAAACCATTGCTTTGGATGCTATATATTGTAGTTTAGATGTTACTATATTTCTATTATATCTTACTAATCCTACTAAAATCATAAATGTGAAAGTTTGGATGGATGGATCGTTTGAGTTTGTATCCTCAACAGTTGAGGAAGTATCTCGGAGAAATTTGACATTAATATAGAGGTTAGTTTTGAAGAACACATAGCTTATGTGTTACTTGCTTTAGTTTTATTTTTTAATTCCGATTTCTGAAAACTAGTTCATTCATTATACATTTTTTTATTATAGTAAATGTACTATACTAACTTAATGAAGTTGAATGATTTGTGTGTTTGGTGATATAATGACATGAAATTACAAGGCATACACCCTCAGTGCTGGGTTTTTAGTTGGCTAATAAAATAGTAATTCAGTACAATTATTATGCAATATTACCGTAAGCATTAACTCATATTCCTGAAGTTATTACTGTTGCCGATACAGAAATGTTAATTAGCGTTCCGGTACCGGAGAACCTTGAAATTCGATCGTGTTCAAGTATGTTTTAAGTGGAAATTAAGTCTCGGTATTACGGTAACTGTTTCTCTCTTCATAATTCCAATCTTGGGCACTAAAATTTTTTTAAATAGCTGTTTGCTTTCGGGTTATTAAATTATATTATCCGATAATCAACACAAAAAAAAAACATTTGTACGTACTTTCTAACATAACGCAAATAAAGTTACCGAGTACAAGATTACTTAATAAACATATTTTTATTTACGCTGATCTGTTTATAATAAACATATTTTCAATAAAAACTATCTAGAAAATAAATTTACGAGAAAAATTTGTCTGCCAAATAATATAATATTCAAGTGAATACAAAAACTGTAATGCTACAATCACGCAGGTATACTAATTTAAAAACCAAATGGCCGGTATTGTCGCCGTGCATAAACACAATACTTGTAGACACTTGACGACAGACAACTGTGTTTAAAACTTGAAACCTAAAGATGTGTTACATACTGTAATGTTTTTTTGTTGTCTCTATTTTGTAACAAAGAATAGAAAAACAGAGAATAAAAGTATGTAATTTGTTTTATTTTGTTAAATAATATTATATTAACTATCTAGTATTTGTTTCTTTATTTATCACTGCTATAAGACTGAAGTGAGATCTCATTATTCAAAGACTAGTTTTGAGTTATTTTGGTTAACAATGCTGTAAGTTCTATGTAAATGTTGTTCTATGTAATCTCACTTATATTATAAATGCGAAAGTTTAGATGGATGGATGTTTGTTAGAGTTTGTAGCTTAAAAAATTTAGCACAGATGAAGAGCATAGTCTGGAAGAACACATAGGCTACTTACTATTGTTAATTTAATTCCACAAGGACTGAGTCACGGGCGAAAGGTAGTAGTTTCAAATACATTAGAAAAAGCATTTTTGTGACATGCAAATAGATTACTATTTTTTGCATAGACTTGTAGTTAACTTAAGTTATAATACTTATTAAGTAACCAAATTAAATTTATAACTTATTCTAGAACTTTACGAGTCTTTATGAATCTGACACATCTATTATCTAATATTAGACAAATATTAGGTTGAGATAACAAGTTATTCTTACTACTGTTCCACATATAATGTAAAATGTTAACTGATATGTGTTCTAACAACATAAAACATACTCACCTAAAGTGTAAGCCACAAACAAGTTGATAGCAGAGACAGCCCACACCCAATTGGGGATATGATCATTGGTAATGTTCTCCTCAGTGAGGGCATGGAACCCATAGTCATAGTACGAGAACAATAGGAAATTAAGGACCGTCAGTAGAAAGCCAGTAAATGTTAGCAGGTTTGGTGCCACCCACACCGGACAAAACTGCAAACATGTTAGAGCATCTTTATTTCATGTTAAAAAAGTTTATTTACTCAGAGCCTCCACAGATACTATCTTAGGAACAGATAACAAATTTAAACCAAACCAGTGTAATGAACCAACATCCATACATGTTCATATAGATTAAGCACTTGACTAAAATATTGGCAGATTAAATCTGTAGTCTGCTGGAGTTCTTACTATAGAGTGGAGTGGTGACATTTGCATTAATAATGTTGTCTCTGTTTTGTCAGAGAATAAAAGGGAAAACAGTATCTATCTATACTATACTACAGCAGTGTAATTCTACAATTGTAAATACTTAAGAACATATTTCTGTCTTTATTTTTTGCACAGAAAATAAGTGGGATGTCAATAGTGTCTATAGATGTTATTTGGAAGTACATGGTTATATGTATTAAATCTTAAAATTACATTACTAACACATGGTTAATAACAATTTTTCATGCTGACACACTGGTAATGTAAATGAATTTAGATTTAGCAGATTTTTTATTAAATAAAATATCTTTGGTTATGATGAGACTGCATCAATTTAGGATCTTAAATTTGTAGTCAATTAGCTAAAAATTTTAATACCAAAAATTAAAAGTTATTTATGTTAGAAACACAGATAAATTAATTGCCGAACAATACTTAATGAGTATGCTGTTGGGTTTTTTTATGGTGTGTTTAGAATATATGCAATAATTTGTAGATTTAAACTGATTACAAAATATTATTAGTATAAGAAGGGAATCTAACCTGAACACACCAATTCCAAAACGGATGCATAACATAATTGCTGAGTATACTTGTGTCCACTGAGTTATACTGAAAATAAAACAAAACGCATTATTCCGTTTATCTTAACTTAAACATAATTTTTATAAATATCCAAATGGATTTAACTTTTTATTATTTAATCGTCTAACATTTACACGTGCCGGCTGAATTATTAGTTAGATTTATTATAATTACCTTGTATTTTTCGAAACCTTCCAATTCAGCTTTTGATAGAAATCGTGACATTTTGATTAGAATGTGGAACTTATTAGAATTAAAACAGTTTCATATTGTCGAACCTTTCGTACTTATTTTCGTTTAGTAAGAACAAGGTTTTCACACACTATTTACACAAACACCAAACCGGCAGGAGAATCGATTGAAGATTTGATTTGAATTGAATCAAAATTGGTTTTTGATTGATTTGAAGTTTGAGTCAGACACAGAGTACTTTGTAACATACTGAAAGAGTATGCAATCATTGCCATCGTGAAAAAATATTTTTGACACACGAGAGATCAACATTGGTTTAATACCAACCTAACGAGCTCAAAATCGGCAGAAGCGGGCGGAAGTGACAGGAGGCAGCAGATATTTTAAATGTCGCGGGGTTTCGAGACTCCTATTCACTATTCACACTCATTATTGAATAATGTAAAGTAAATTCTTATCTCTAACTATTACTTAACATCTTATATGTTACAGAGATTTCAAAATAAAATTGATTTGTTTTTAATTTACATTTTACCACAAAATAGCTTAGGGGCAGTACTACCAAATTCTCGTAAATTGCCTGATAATAATCAAACAGATAAAATACGTGACGGAAATATAGGATTTTTTTGTTTCACAATTCAAGATACCGATAAATAAGAACCTGGTAGTTAGTAAAAGCGGCAACGTCGCAAGGACGCTTAAAAGATCATATTCGGGCAGTTTTGCAAAAAACTTTATTTTTCATGTTAATATAAATCTTTCCTATTTTCTGCTAAAAATTTCTTTAAAAAGATTGTATACAATATATGCTAAGTATTAAAAAAATCACTTATTTATTTTAATATTTGGTTAAAAATAAAATATATAAAATGAAATAAGTGGAATGAATTGCGAATCGGAATTTCGTTTCCATGACAACGGCATATTGTTATTTATTACTAAATTTATGCGGAACAAAACAATGGATAGTATTGCAATAGTCTAATCACTTTTACGTAAATTATCTGACATCAATGAAGATGTAATATAGCAGAATGTATAAAATGATTTTTCTGTCCCACCACTGACATCTGTCATTATTAATAACACTGATAATTTACAACAGTACTATAACGGCAACGTCGCAACGAATGCTTATAAGTTCCTATTTATGCAGGTTCGTAAAAGAGACCATGCCATAAATTACGTGACACCTTAGTTTAGTTTTACTTAAATGTCTATTTTTACGTAATTGAATACATAACAAGATTTTATATTTACAAAGGATAATAACACAGCTAATAGTAAAAATTAACAAATACAATAAGAAAAAAATATTTTAGTAACAAAATATTACGTTGAATGAATTGCGTAGCGTCATTTTGACAACGGATTACTGTTATAATGTAACCATACGGTTCCATGTAAGACTACTTCGTAAGATGCAAACTTCACTGCCATGAGTACTCAAAAACACAAAAAGTACAGAGTTTGTCACTCGAAACATGACCCATTGCCATGCTAGATTATCGTCTCAATTTCTCACTACTGAGTGATTGTGGAGACGGTATATTCATGTTATATTACAAGACAATCGTAAATTCATCTTCTCAAAACTCAACAAGATCTATTTTCAGTCAAAACATTGGTATTAACTCAAAATAAGACCAAAGAAAGTTTTCTCATCCAGTTGATAAAAAGATAATGGTCACTCGATCTGGCAGTCAAATTAGGAGCTCGTAAATTTGCTATTTTACCTATCCGAAACTTGTGGGACTGGATTTTGCACCATATCTGATGTCATTGTGACATTCATGTCATTTCGACATTATCCAGAACTCTTTATCAGCCACCCGTGGGACAGAATCGAAAAGTTTTGTATGGGGCTTGTAAAAAAAATGACATTGACATTTAAAACGTCATAGCGTTATCTGCTATTTAAAATTGGTGGGACAGAAATTTTGTATTTTATCTGACGTGACGTCATATTTACACTATCAGGGCCTCTATCTACCACCGGTGGGACAGGCCCTTATTCTCCTAAAACTTAAAAACTTATTTGCGAACATGTAGTCATGTTATTTTAACATATAGAATCGACAGAAGATCGCACAAATATATCAAAAATGTGTATGAAATTCAATATATTTCAGTATTGAAACATTATCGTCTAAATTGCTTGTCGTAATTCGTTAGGCGTAGTAATTATTTTTACTAGTAAATAAGTTTGGGCAAAATGTCTTTAGGCGCTAACTAATTATTATTATCAATTAATCAAAGGCAATAATTGTAATAAAAATCGAAATGATTAATTGTTAGTACGGGTTCTGAAACCTTAGTGTATCCCGTCTGTGCTCAGTGCCTACATGATATTTCCGTTAGGTGTAATGCAATCGTGATTCTGCCTGCACCGGTTTTCTGAGAAGTTCAAAACCAGTTTACGATACATCTGTGCAGCACTTCTAGTGATGTACAAGACTCTGTAAAAACTAAAAACATATTTACTACTGACATACGGAAAACCTGTGATCGAAATAAATTTGGGTCTCTCCCCTCTTATAATATTAGGTTGGCAAAAATCAAGTATTGATAAAAACGAATTCTAATACTTTCTCACGAAGATTAATGTGGTTGTAGTCCTTATTACAATTCAAACTAGATTCATCCCAAAAAGGTAAAAAGGCTGGGAATTACAAATAATCTAATGTAATGTCATTGATGTAGGCGTGTTAGATATAAAAGTTGTATTAGTACAACGCACGACAATTAAACAACGTAATGGTCCATTATAATCGTTTATAGATAAAACGTCACTAAGATATTAATGTTTTCGCCAAGGAACTCCAGTCAGGACGTCAGTCATTCGCAAACATATAGATCATCAACACGCTTCGCGAGATCCGGCAATAATATAAATATTTTTATTAACTTTATCAGCTATTTATATTTTTTTAATTCAGTTCATCAGCTATTCATATTTTATAAATAAAAATATTAAATAAGATGTCACATAGAGTTGCGGCTTTTCGTACGAAGAGCCATTTAGTGAGGCAGCTATCGGTTTCGACTTCTAAGGTATGGATTATTCTTCGTATTTAATAAACTTATTAAATAGTATTAAACAATGCAAAAAAAACTGAAATAGACATTCCTCTTTCTCTTCCTGCTAAAGTAAAGTTATCGTAAGAAAAATAATATCAGGTTCAACTTTCATTCACTACGAACGCGAGTCGGGAACGGAAAAAGTTTTAATATAAAAAATAATCGTATATGACTGTGTTTATGAATTAACAATCGAATCAAATCCGAAAAAAGGTTGCCTTAGCCTTTAAATAACTTAACCACTATTATACCATTTATGGATTACCAGTTTATCGTAGACCTTAAGACCAGAACCTTGCAAAGGCATAATTAGATAGAAACCTATCATAGATATAGAATTAGATAGATACCTAAATAGTAGTCTATTTTAGTGTTAAATATGCATAAATTTAGTATCAAAATCGTGGATTTTCGCACAAATCTTAATTTTTCTTTATAAATGTGGTAACTTATTATTTATTTTTAATTTACTTTTGACGTTATTAACTAGGTTATTTTGTTATGGAAGAAATGTTTTAATGTTTCAAATTGTAAAATTTCTCACCATGTTTGCATGGATACGATAAAGCTTTTGCAATTGCACACCTGATCCGATGTTACCTAGCTACTTTCACATCGATACTTGTTATTCCACTACAAGCACTATTATTGTCTTTACAGTTCAATTCCAGTTACATTTTTTATAGCGCATAACCTACAAATCCTTTATTTTTAAGCAACTAGTTTTCGCCCGCGACTGCGTCCGTGTGATATAAAAAAAAACAAAAGTGTGTCTATGTGTTCTTCCAAACTATCCTTTACATTTATTTATTTATTTATTTAAATTAGGCTTATCAACATAATTACATGACATTCATTGATTTCTATTTAGTAATCCAAACACACGTGGCATCATGTAACTACAATTACAGATAAACACATCTTGCTTCAAATCATACTGCTACTATATCTATACCAAATTTCATTAAAATCCGTTCAGCCGTCTAGGCAACAAACGCTAACAAAAACCCATCCATCCATCCATCTAAACATATATATAACACTAGCTTTCGCCCGCGACTCCGTCCGCGAGGAATTAAAAAACAAAAGTAGCCTATGTGTTCTTCCAGACTATCCTCTACATCTATACCAAATTTCATCGAAATCCGTTCAGCCGTTTAGGCTACAAACTCTAACAAACATCCATCCATCTAAACTTTCGCATTTATAATATTAGTATGATTAGTATAGTTAGACTTTACAGTGCAAAGAATTTTTGAACCACTTTATATCTACAAAAACCATGTTTTTAAGCTCGCGAAGAGCTTTATTAAAATTTTTCTTTCATCGATTTTCTTAGTTACAATAATGAGAATTATTTCTAATCGTAATTTATTGTTATAATAATTTTAATTTAATTCCACATCTTAAGTACCTACTATTTGTATCGAGAAGCAAATTATTAGTATTGACATCATTTTATTTGGAGGAAAAAAACTATAATTGTGTATGAACAAGCAATTGTTACAACAAATAATTTATGATAATCATGTTTTGGTCAACTATCGATAGATTATTTATTGAATATTTTTCCATAACTATTATCCAGTATTTAGTTCGATAGCGCAGCGTTAGGGTTACGATGGAAACAATTCCTTATCTTATTTGTTAATTTTGTTTATTGTTTAGCACTCACCTCATTTATCATCAGTAATGCTTGTTTTAACGCAATTAAGTAAATGTTGATTTACTTCAATTGCTTTACACTTGTTAAAATCATGTTATTAACACTGTAACGAATTCCGTATCTTAAAATACAAATGTGATTATTCCGTTGAGAAGTATTTCGTCTATATTGGATTTAAACTTTTACGAAGACAAAAAAAGAAGCGTAATTTAAACAAGAAACATTAGTTACTTTTCTTTTTTATATTGGCGACCTTCTTATGATGTTATGAAAAATGACAAAAAAGTGATTAAGACGGTACATAGTTACCAATTTAAATTTACTTACCACTTTATTACAAAGACTTTTTTAAGAACTACCTAACGTCAACAATGTGCTAAAGATGTGTTTTAAAGCAAGTGTGGTTTAAAAACGTAACTAAGTAATCTCCATTTCCCTCATTACAATAGTAAAGTTGCAATTAAAACATTTTTGCATTGTTAGATATCTTTGAAGTCTATCTCCGATGTTCTGCGCCGGATTATAAACATTTTCAAATTGAACCACAAACCTGATTCTTTTAAATTCACAAACGTAACAGTGAAAGGCAACAAGAATAGCCAAAATAAGGTAAAACCCCCACACTAAATTACCCAGGTTCCCTTGCAGAATTTTGAACAAAAAGGTCAATTTGTTAGCATTAAAATATATATGCTAACATAATAACGGAACGATGAATGTTTTAGCCTCGTCGAGTGATAGCAATAAGAAGAGAAGATCAGTCAGTATGGGAGAGACGCGCGCCCTTTTCTCCGGCGAATGTCAATCGATTGGTGCGGCAGGGCGTCAAAGTTATTGTGCAGCCTTCGAACAGGCGTGCATACCCCATGCAGGTAAAAAAACAAAATCACTGTTACTTTAACATGTAACAACTAAGGTCTTAATTTTCAAGAGCCTTATGGGATCAATTCTGTATATGATTTAATTTTATAATATAACTATACAGAATATTCAACAACTCGGGATTGGCTCGACGCCATTTTTTATTCAATTTTAGAAATAAATAGTGTTTTGTTTATTTTTCAGTCGTACTTGAACGCAGGGGCGATAATCCAAGAGGACATCAGTGAGGCGAGCGTGATATTTGGTGTAAAACAAACACCGATCGACCTCCTGATACCAAACAAGACTTATTGCTTCTTTTCGCATACAATCAAAGCACAGGAAGCTAACATGCCAATGTTGGATGCTATCTTAGCAAAGGTTAGTAAAGAAATAAATACAAGGTGCTATTTTTAAGCAACAATGTTAATTTTAAAATACTTATTTTTAGAATATCCGTCTAATAGATTACGAAAAGTTGATGGATGACGCGGGTAACAGAGTTGTGGCGTTCGGGAAGTACGCGGGAGTGGCTGGCATGATAAACATCCTGCACGGACTGGGCCTGCGATTGCTGGCTTTGGGACACCACACGCCTTTCATGGTAGTACCCCTGATATATTATTCGATTGTGTCAGTTATAAGACAGTTATCATTTGGTTATAAATTTGATGAATATTTTCATTAGCACGTAGGTCCAGCGCATAACTACAGGAATTCAAGCATGGCGCGACAAGCGATACGAGACGCGGGCTACGAGGTGGCTCTTGGAATGATGCCCAAGTCCCTTGGACCTCTCACCTTTGTCTTCACTGGTTCAGGAAATGTATCTCAAGTAAGTATTCCACAATACGGGCTGCCAACTTTCAAAAAATTTATACACAAATAGTGGCAGAAAAGGCCGACTATTCTCAGATTGAGAAAACAATTCATAATCCCGTAAACTCCGTAATCCGAATATGCATAAAAACCCGAAGTGTTGGCAGCCCTAATTTTAATAGTAAGATAGTAGCAAAATTAATACTGAAATACTTACAACAATTATTTTTTAATTGTAGGGAAGTCAAGAAATTTTCCAAGAACTACCGCATGAATACGTACCACCCGAGATGTTAAGAAAAGTGGCAGAACATGGCAGTATGTTGAATTTATTGATTATTTTCATTCCAAAAGTATAGTTGTGAGAGATTTTGAAGTTTGAAAGCGAAATACGTTTGTAAACGATTTGATGGAAAGATGGACAAGTTGTTTACAACCTTTATTGAACACACGTGTTCAAGTGGTATTATTTTTATCAATACGTATAGCAAAGAATTAAAATAGTAACTTCATTTAACTATGTTACTAGGAAAAGATAATCCGATTTATCTTTCGGATAGCATTTGATATACAGGGTAATTTGTTAACAAAACAAAAGCAAGTTATACATTAGACCCACTTTCCACTAAGCAATTGTTTTAGGCCCAAATAAAATCTACGGTTGCGAAGTACGTCGGAGGCATCACCTTGTCAGAAAGAATGGAGGCGGCTACGATCATCAGGAATACGAAGAACATCCAGAGAGATACATTTCCACGTTTGCGCAAACAGTAAGTATTTTAATAGAAGACCAATACATATTAAAGTGAGCTTTTTCAGTAGAAATATATGTACAAAATCATTGTTAACTCCTTAATCTCTTCGATAAAAAGAGATAGTTAACATTGTTTTTTAATTAAACAGTGGAATTCTCCGTTAACAAAATTGTTAATTTTCACATACAATTTTCCTTATGTCAGTCGTATAAATGCGTATAATATTGAACATTGGGTTTTTTATTTTATGTTTTGATATGTTGATGAGTGTAGATTTGATTTTACGTTAGTTACTGTGCAATAAAATTAATTGTAACATTCTGGTAGTATACAGAATTTTATGTTAGTTAATTAAAAAATCAACAATTATTTGCAAGGATCTTTGCTTGGCGACTGTTAATCTTATCAAGTGATTAGAATCAACTACGTGTAATACGTACTAATTACGATTTTATCAGTTTATCATGACGGTTAACTCAATGAGGGGCATGTTTCTGATAAGACATTTATTAAAAGAAACTATTTGCAACTTTTTAGACCAGAGATAAGGTATAGAATTGAATACAATCATAATTGTTAACTCATTAATGTTAATGCTGTTATAATTTTGGCGATAAATATTATGATTTTCGATTATTTTTGTGCTAAAAGAAAAAATCGTTTTCAAATAATTTGCAATTTTATTTTATTTTTTAGACTTTGATTTGAAACTTTTAGAAAGTTTTATCGGTGTTTATTTGTAAACATCGTGTTAATTTTGTTTTTTATAAAAACCCTGAGGCTTCATTTAAAACATTTTTGTCCTTGTATTTTCAAATGGAATGATAGGAATGAAAATTATGTTGAAATTAATGCTGAAATACATATGTTTGCACGCAGATAGCGCCATACACGTCAGTTCTGGTTAACTGTATCTACTGGGCGGTGGACAGCCCTAAGCTGCTGACCATACCCGACGCCAAGCATCTGTTCCTGCCCTCGCACACGCCCTGGCTGCCCAAGAGTGTGGGTGCGCCCGCATTGCCTCACAGGTTACATAAAGCTCATTCTACACTTCAAATTCGATTTATACAATAGCAGAAAACATTTAACTAAATATTATTGATTTATTCAAATAATTGTGTGTTTACCTTTATTAATGTTTACTTGAAGTAACGGCAAAATATATAAATATAGGGAAAATGTCTTAAGGTTACAACTGTTACAAAAAAAAACAATCGAAATCGATGTACGAATCAGTAAGAAGCATAAAAGAATGGATAAAATAATTAAAAATTAATGCGTAAAAGGATTTCTCCTTATCTTGCTTTTGTTTTTTTGCCAATTTTGTTATTTTTATTATTGATTGTGTTTCGGATAACACACAATCGTCCGCTAAACATTCCTGACCCTGTTCGACATTGTCTTATCTTTTGCTGTGAAAATAACAATAATAGTCATGAACTATTGCGTTTATTTAAAGCACGGATTGTAAATCAGTGACAATCACTGTAGAATAAAATCCAACCACTGGAATTCGCTCATGAAATTATTCATGTAAGACAGTTTCGGCAATGGAAGCCAACGGTAAATTATATTTACCTTGAACTTAATATCGTTGGTTTTATCATTGTTTACAATTGTAGTTAAGTATATTTGCATCTCATAAGTTGCCCTGTAAAAATAATTTTGTTCAGTAAACTAATTACAAAATATTATAGAAAAAAAAGTTTTGTTCTAATTTGTGCACTGTACTTAATCGTGGCTACAAAACTAAGTTATCTATAATTATCATTTATTACAGATATCTTACTTGTCGGTCACTTAGGTCACGTATAAAAGGATTAAAATATCATTTTTATCAACATTTACGCATATCTAATTCGCATATCGTACGTTTAGTAAGTATGCGAAGAACGGAAGAGAATTATTATCAATTCGTAACAGTTAAATGAGGCCATTATTGATAAATAATGGATAAGATAAATATAAAAGATTTCCATGACTCAAAAAGTAAAGTTTTTACGTAATATGTAAATAAGGAAATGTTAGTAGAGTTGAAGACAATAGTTTTCTGTTCTGTAGCAAATAAAATGCTTGCAACTTTTCAGGAATAACAAGTTACTAACTTACAAACTTAGTTAACTTTAATTACAAACTTTTATTAAATCTTTATGGTAAAGTAAAATATTTGTTCTAAACTAACCTTTAGTTCAACTGGTTTCTAGTTGTTTAAAATATTAACAATATACTAAGTTCCTTCTTACTCACAGTTACTTTTTAACTTAGAAGGTAAATTATCATTGCTAAGTTTTATCCGACACTATCGTTTATCGGTGCATTATAATTGCATATTGCATTGAATGATAAGTTTTCAAGGTAGAGTACAAGAGCAATATTATTCAAACTTAATGACGGCTTGTGTCAGTTGGCAGACCGTTTCTAAGCCAATGTCTGCTGAATTGACAAACAGCGGGTAGAGAAAAATTAGCGCTCGCCTTTCATCGCTTTACGTCTTGTCAAAACTTAGAATTGTACAGGTTTAGGTATCTCGGTTCGCTGAGATCGCTCTCGGAGATCACCAGCAACAGAAAGGGTTTGCTGGGGTTCTTCGGAGAGCTGGGTTAGCTGGAGTAATCCATGTCCTGTTTCTCACACAAAATACGCGTTTGCCGTGGAGTTACGGAATCCGTAGCCCCTACTACTACTACTTAAAATTGTGTATTTCTTCCGAGCTCTCGTTAAGTTTGTATGGCACTATACTATTGTATTTGTTGTAGAATGCTGGCTATTTGCGACATATCAGCGGACCCCGGCGGCTCGATTGAGTTCATGAACGAGTGCACCACTATCGATACGCCGTTCTGTCTTTACGACGCCGACAGAAACAAGGATACGAAAAGGTACATTAATTAATATGTGACTGCAAAACTTCACTGCACTTACTATTTTACTGACATATATTTAATCCAATTTCATCCTTTACATTTTCATTAAAATAAAAATACAACAATTTGTGTCACTATATCGCACAAATGGTTGTTCGCGCTTTGATTCCTATAAGCTTATATGGAGATACACTACTCGATTTTTAGTTGTGTAACTAAACAGTTCATTTGGTTTCAAAACAATCGACAATCGCGCAACAGTTGTGCGATAGTTTAGTCAAAGTGTGCGCCCGCTCCTTAGTCGAAGTTAATTATTAAGGCCAAATTATATGTTTAGTTTGGTGACAATATTAAACTAACTATTATACTAACTTTGTATGGTCATACTAATATTGTAAATGCGAAAGTTCAGATGGATAGATGTTTGTTAGAGTTTGTAGCCTAAATGGCCCAATGGATTTCGATGAAATTTGGTATAGATGTAGAGGATAATCCGGAAGAACACATAGGCTACTCACTTTTTTTTTTTTTTTTTTTAAATCCACGCGGACGGAATCGCAGGCGAAAGCTTCTTGCAATGTTTTTGTGTCCAGTTTCAAAGGTCCCGGAGTGCTGGTGTGTTCTATCGACAATATGCCGACGCAGTTGCCGCGCGAGTCCACGGACTTCTTCGGCGATCTTCTGTACCCCTACGCCGATGACATCATGAGCTCCGACGCCACAAAGCCTCTGGACGCACACAACTTCTCTCCTGTCGTTCAAGGCGTGAGTTATAGCTTTTATACCTTGGGCTTTCGCTGACTGAAGACCTATCTAAATAGTGACATCTTTGTCATAAAAATATACAAAGTAACCAACATTTTAAATCTATTTCTACTAATGTTATGAAGAGAAAAGTAGTAATAAATACAAAACTGCTAGGCCGATTTCAAAATTTTTTTCACCATTAGAAAGCTACGTCATCGCTGAGTAACATAGGCTATATCTTTTAATTATTTCTAATTTCATAGGAACGAAATCGCGAGCATGAACTAGCAATGAATATGTTTCTCATTTTTATATCTCTAGGTTCAAGTTTATAAGCTAATGATTGTTTAAATTTCAGGCTATAATTACAAGTAATGGAAAATTAACGCCGTCCTTTGAGTACATCAACGATTTGCGAATGACAAATACGTGAGTTATCAATTAAAAATAACTAGTTATATTTCAATATGATAATGTATTCAATTACTGACGTTACGTTTTAATTTTATTCAAATCCCGATGAAAAATAAAAAATAAAAATCCCGCTGAGGACAGGATTCGAACCTGCGCGGGTATAACCCATTGGATTTCAAGTCCAACTCCTTAACCACTCGGACACCTCAGCTGTGACGGATTAGTTAAAAAATAAATTATGTCTCTAATTATACTTACCTAAAAAGCATTTTCAGTGTCTATTACTTGTATAATGTTGGTTGTTGACCAACTGTGTAAACAAGAAATAGAACAAGTGAACTAAACGTATTCCAAACAATTCTAATTCAACACAGCAGTGTAGTGAAGTGCATTTAATCAAACATGATTTCTGGCACATTTTCGTACATATCTTTTGGACTAAAAGACTAACAAGGTTAGTTGCTCTTTCTTTTGAAATTACTCTAGTCTTAACGTATGGATATTCTCAGGCGATCACGACACAAGGTGGAAGGCAACGACCAGCAGACGCCGGTGCTCATCCTGGGCAGCGGCCTCGTCTCCGCGCCCGTCGTCGAGTACTTGGCGAGGGACAAGAATGTCGCCGTCACTGTTGGTATGTCAATGTCAAGTTTTTTGTAATCTACGTTTGGTTCAAAGTATTGGATATCGATCTGAAGATATTATAGCTCGTACAAATTGACATTACAAGAGAGACAAAAGTCTTCTTTTGAATCAGCAATACTGCTTGTCAGCAATGACACTAAAAGCCCGGGATTGCTAGAGGTGAAGGGTGCCCTGACGCTCGAATTTAGGGGCACCCGCCAATATTTTCTATACTAACTATAGTACTTAATTACGGGGCCAGGTTGATACATGCCCCAAGTCTCTAATTGATTGGCGTGCAAAGCCTACCAAATGAGACGATTGGTTCTTATTGGACTTTATTGGTCACTAGCTGTCACGCGTCACCGTCCGCGTGGAATTAAAAAAAAAATGAGTAGCCTATGTATTCTTCCAGGGTATCCTCTACGTCTATGCCAAATTTCACCGAGATCCGTTCAGTTCGTTGTTCTCCGTTCGTTCTCCAACAAACATCCATCCATCCATTCATATATCCATCCACATAAACTTTCGCATTTACATTATTTTAAGATTAGTAAGATTATTGGTGTTAGTGCTAATTTTCGTTTTTTTTCCAGCATCTCAAATGCGTGAAGAAGCAGATGCGTTAGCGGAACGTTATGGAGTCCGTGCGGAGTACATCCAGGCCAACGACGAGAGTGCGCTGCGAGCGCTGGCGTCGGGCGCGCGGCTCGTGGTCTCTCTGCTGCCATACGACCTGCACGGACCCGTGGCGAGAGCCTGCGTCAGCGCCGGCGTGCACATGGTCACCGCCTCCTACGTCAGACCTGAAGTACAGGAACTGCATGATGCGTATGTTTAAAACAATTAATATCTTATCTAATTAACATGTTATGCTATTACAATGCTGGAATATAAAAATCCAGACTGAAAACCACTTATATGCAATAAGTAGTTTTCAGTATGGTTTAGAATATAACAGTGATAGAACACGCTTTAACATCTTCGCACGAATGGGTCGGCTCGCCCGGTAGAATAATACGACCACATAGAAGACAGGCGTGAAGTGGAAGCATTTCCGCGTTTTGGAGCGGAAAGCCTAATTTAATGAAATAATATTTGTATCTTTTTTTTCATATAGATTTAAATTTATGCGTTATCATCAAATGAAAATCGTTACGCACTAACATTAATTTATATCAATAAGTGTAAATGATAATAAAAGCAATAATAAAAGGCGTGTTTTTAGTTACATTCAGCGGATAAAAAGATAACGACCTACATCTTTATCTTTATAATAAATCGCAATTACTATTTTATCTATTTTTACGCATAATTACGCATAACTACATTACTTGATACACTTAAAAATAAAAAAATTGTAAAAGATTTGTTTACAATATACTGTAAATTGTGATCCGATGAGAAAGATCGTCAAGAAAAAAGAGAATCGCGTTTTTATTTACTTATTTACTGAAAGAAAAAAGTTTGTTTAGTTATAAATAGACATAACCTACAAAATTAACTGAGAATTTTTACTTTTAGAGCAAAAGAAGCTGGAGTGACATTGCTAAATGAAGTAGGTCTGGACCCTGGTATTGATCATCTTCTGGCGCTGGAATGCATCCACGATATACAGAACCACGGCGGTCGTATTGATTCCTTCGTCTCCTACTGTGGAGGTAAACAATCTTGAATAGTAAATCAACCAAGTACTTATTCTCAAAATATGTTTTTTTTATACTATAAAGCGGAAAACGACTAAGTCATTGGCATCGTATTGTTTAAAACGATACATTGATAAAGATTCTTAAATAATTTTTTCTATTGTCTATAGCATACAATCAAGGGACATCTAATTGTAAGCTTATGTCTGCTCTTTTGGAGTATGTTATCAAACGATATCTTGTAATAAAACTAATTATTTTATTTGAACTATCTTACTTATTTTGAACTGTCTCTACCACGTTCTGGCCACGCGGTGGTCACGTTTTTATTGTCCAATTATTATTGTGATAATAATTGTATGTTCAATTACAATCACATAATATTATTTATTAAAAACTATCGATAATGATAATTTGCGGCAATTATTTTACGCGGATATAAAGATTAAAGTATTGGCGCATTCCGAGAAAAAAAAATGAATCATTGAATTTTTAATTGTATGAATGATTTTGTTAATTTTATTTATGTCGCTTTAACTTCAAATTTGGATTTCACAAACCAACAAGGGATAGGTATACTTTGTTGAGGCAAAAGACTAAAAAAAAAAAATGTCTGTTCCAAAGATCTGATGATTTAACATTGTCATTAATTTTAAAGTAAAATAAGAAAGCCAACTTAATTTATTTTTGTAGGTCTACCAGCTCCAGAGTTCAGCGACAACGCACTACGCTACAAGTTCTCATGGAATCCTCGCGGCGTCTTACTGAACACTATCTCCAGCGCTAAATACTTGAGCAAGGGTCAGGTAAGCTTACACACATAGTATTGTTGATTGTATATTTACATTTTGAAGGTTAACCACACCTTTCTACCTTCAGATAGTGGAAGTCCTAAGCGGCGGCGAGCTGATGTCGGTAGCTCGAGAGCTAGACTTCCTGCCAGGCTTCGCGTTCGAAGGTTTCCCCAACAGGGACAGCACCAAGTACGCCGAGCTATACGGAATTGAAGACGTGCACACCATGTTCCGAGGCACCATCCGGTATAAAGGTAATACAACGACATTTAACAACGAAGAATAAAACAAACAAAGAACTAAAGAAAATAAGGGAATAGAAAGCGAAAAACAAAACAAACGCAGAGCGAAAAAAAAAACTAAACAAACGAAGGACGAAACAAGTGGAACAAAGAGTGATCTTTGTTGTTGATTGAGTTAGCAAAATATGTGAATTTGTCGTTTTTTTTTTGTTCTTTTTCTTTTTTCGTTTGTTAGAAGTTTGATTTTTTATTGCAGGCTTTGCGGAAACAATGAAAGCAATGCAGTTGTTTGGACTAATAGATCCCAACCCACATCCATCATTGCATCCTGAAGGACCATCAATTACTTGGGTATGTAGTAATGCGTTACATCAAAAAAAAAAAAAATTGAACCCCCTTTAATGTCCCCTTGATTGTCCCCAGCAACTAGCTGCATTCATAGAAATACAACAAATTGCTCCATCATTAATTTTCTCCTTTTTCCTTAGCGACAATTTGCCTGCGAACTGCTCGGTCTTCTGGATACGTCGATCTTCTACGAGAATCTCAAGACGCGCCTGTCGGAGCGTATCGGCGTGTCGGGGGCGCAGGCGCTGGAGTCTCTGGGCCTGCTGGGCGACGACACGGTGGTGAAGTGCGGCACACCGCTAGATACTATCAGTCATTATCTCACTAAGCGACTACAATTGGGTATGTATTCTCTTAATACCAATATTCGTGTTCTGTGATAGCATATTTTGATAACGTTATATAAGATACGTTACAAGAGCGTCGAAGGCTCAGTGGTTTAAGCACTTGACCTGTAATCTACAGGTCTTGGTTTTGAATCCCGCCACGTGCCAATGTGATTTACGATTTTTCGTATATATGGTGAAGGAAAACATCGTGATGCAACCTGCACATATCGGCAAAGAAATTCAAAGATATGTGTAAAGTCAACCTGCAGTAGGCCAGCGTGGTTGACTATCGGCTAGGCACCATAAATTAGGCTCCGAGCCCCACAATAGGGACGTATAGTGAGCTGGTGATGATATGAGGCTTGTACTGTATGTTTCTATTATCTAAGTGTAAATCTCTCCTAATAAAAGTGCACTAAGGTATCGTCAGTGACCAATTAACGACTTGTAATTGTAGAAAAAGATGAGACAGACTTTGTGGTGCTGCGACACGAGTTAGGCGTGACGTGGAGCGACGGGCGGCGCGAGCGGCGCGAGGTGACGATGACGGTGCGCGGCGAGCCCGCGCGACACACCGCCATGGCGCGCACCGTTGGCCTGCCCACCGCCATCGCCGCCAAGATGCTGCTAGATGGTAATTACCTGACTTCCGTCATTATCCTCCTCAAATAAAACCTTAATTCTACCAGAATCATTATACAGTTACAATGAAACGTGAAAATCAGGTACTAATACTTTTTGGTCTAACTCTTCGTTGTTTATTTAACAATGCGCCGCCATATTGTTTTGTTTTAAACTGCGTTAAACCTAGTAACTTTGCTTGTCTGCTTATTAATATTTAATAGTTAGTTTACGACAAATAAAAGCATTTGGTGACAATTCTAAAAAGTCCATCCATTTTAATAACTTATTTTCTTTAATTTCAGGTGAAATTCAAGATCGAGGTGTTGTGCTACCGTTCTCGCCGACTGTTTATAAATCATTATTGTCAAGGTTGAGGGCTGACGGCATCACTGCTAAGGAGGTCATACGACCACTTAATTAATCACAATATCAGATATCCAAATTGATTAAAAGACAAAAAAAAACAACTTGACAAGCAATGACATTTTAGGTTAAATTGAATTTAATTTTTGTTAAAATATTGATAAAATTAATTGTAATAAGACGTAATTAATTAAAAGTATAAAAACTTTATAAATAAATAATAGGTACATAGGTGTACTTTTAAATAAAGATCATTGTTACTTAGTTTTGATACTATGTAACTTTTACTACTATGCAAAACTAAGTACTGGCAAAGGATTATTTAAACATTTTTAAGATCAAATTGAAATAAGATTGCTAAACTAAATGCGAGATGATTTGTTCATTTCACCTGATCTTTAAAAGCTTAGAAATAAATTAAATAGTCTTTAAGTTGAATTAATTTATATACATTGTAAATATAATTTTGTAAATTTTTTTTGATTAACGTTTGTTAGCTTTAACTTTCTTATGTTATTGAATAAAATATTTTCCAAATTGTTTTTTTTTTATGTTTAGAATTGATTTATGTTATTTTATTACAACACTTTTTTCTATCAACCTTACAAATCGTTATATCTTTAGCATACAATCTTTAACTCTACCTTTAAAAGGTTTAAAACAATCTATTTTGTCTTTTTGAGGTTACAATTGTTAACATTCTAAGAAGGTCCTATATCTCATCGTTTGTAACTTGCAGTGGTAATATCTTGGTGGAAAACAAACTAGGATAGGATAATACATCGTTTAAGTGAATAAATACTGAGAAATATGGTAGAGTTTGTGAAAATTAGCTGCTTCGTCTTATACAAACTTTTTCCAACAGCAAAAACAAACGCACGCTTGCGTCGGAATAAATGAAAGTAAAATGTTGTGATGTCAACAAGGCAACCGCACTGAAAATGAAAATACTGTTGTTCAGAAATGTCATCTGGAAGAAAAAGGTTTGACATGAACGTCATTCAAGTACCATTTTTTTGCTAACCTAAAATGTTTTATCAAATGACTTGATCTCGCTGTTTTTACTAATTTTTTTACGTATATTTTTCCACAAATTAACGAAGACAAATCTCGATTGTATCGCGACACAACTCGTTTTGGGTTCGACGTATTATTTAGCGTGTGACAATTTTTTTAATGATGACAATGCGTTAGAGAAGTTAAAACATGGACACCGACCCGAATAACACTGTAAGTCAACATTCAAACTAACGAACAATTTCTTCTTCATGTTGTTTTTGTAAATGGGTTTTAATCGTACCATTTCAGAACAAAATTTTACACACAAATTGATTGTTTATACTGTCTGAAGTTAGCTGTCTAAATTCTAAACGCAACGTAATGTAATTAAAATGCAATAAATGTAAAATAAACAAGGAGTTCAATGAAAATAAATACCAAAGTAAGGAATATTTCCAATAACATTAGTGGACACTCATAAATACTCAGATAAAGTTCCTTATTTATTCAGGACAAAATTTATTTGTACACTTAGTAAAGTAGTAATGACACTGATATGGTAACTCCTACTTCCTTATTTATTCACGAAAGATGAAATTAAATAAATGGAACATTTTTTCTAATTAACACCCCGTTACATACATACTTAAATAAATTATATTCATTCGATTTTTTTTAAACAGCTTTTTTATTTCCACACATTTAGATATGTGTATATATCTTTTTCGTTTCAAGAGATTATTTTGTAAGTAACTAATATATCTAAGTAAACAATCAACCATCATTTCTTTCTGGTGGTAGTTGATTTTACATAAGACGCTGCGCATGCGTTCGTAGACAAACTAGCTATTAACCTCTACCCGCCAAAAAATTTAATCAGTCAATACTAAAAAGATTCAAAAGAAAGTTAAAAACGTTACCAACAGATATTGGGTGCGATACCAAATCATACAGGATTTGTTCAACGAACAATTTCACTTGATGTTATACTTTTGAGAAATGCTGTTAAAGATACCAGCAACCTGTTCTCCAATTATTATAAGATTAACTAAGAGCAGTAATGTCGTTGTTATGCAAAAAAATGAAAGCTGGATAAAGGAATAAAGAAAAATATTGATAGACAACTATAACCTCTGGTATTATACAGCAGAGGGTCTTACTGAATCAATCAGACGAGTTCCTTTATTTAGGAGAGATACATAGACAAGAGAGACAAAATATTCTTGGAGCTTGGTTTATATTATGTTTAAAGTATGACGTGCTTTTTTATTCATATTTTCCTCAGAGTGTCCTAAAAACTAATGGCCATACAGACTCAGATCATACGGAACGGATAGCGGCAGCTAGTGCAGTTAATAGTGCTAATTGTCGACTTGTTTGTGATGGTGCGGGTGTTGGTTACTGCCGGTAGACGGCGGGTCGCGAGACGGGGCGGTGCATGTCCGTGGCGGCAATGCAGGCGCTGCACCGGCTACGCGAGTGCCGGCTGCTGTGCGACGCCGTGGTGCGCGCGGACGACGGCGCCGCCTTCCCAGTTCACCGCGCTATACTTTCCGCCTGCAGCCCTTACTTTCTGTTAGTCTTATTATTATACTATCATCTTTTGATGAATCATACAAAGGATTATTGTCGTAAGGTAAAAGTGATCGGTTATATTTTTAAAACCCTAAGATACGTTAAAAAGGGATAATAGAAAATCATTGAATTATAAAAAGCTAATTGGGAGATATTCATTCTACGACGTACCCTTAAATATTCCAACCTTTCTTTTAATTTTTTGAGGTGACACTTTCATGAAACCAATCCCATCCATTGAAGCACCAGTTGTATTTGCTACAATGTATGGAAACTCTACTGAACCTTCTCAATAAACATGTAAAGATGTCGGATTTTATAAGGATATGTTTGTAGGGCGCTATTCACTACGACGCTTCACTCGCGCGAGCAAAGCGACGTGTTGATATCGGGCGTGCGCTCGGAGATCCTATTGCTGCTGATCGAGTACGCATATCTGCGCCGCATTGACGTCACCGACGGCAACGTACACGAGCTACTTATGACCGCCGACTACCTCGCCTTCCTCGGCGTGCTGCAGCTCTGCTGCGACCACCTACGCCTCGCGCTCAGCCCGCGCAATTGCCTCGGCATCATGATGTTTGCCAGGTCATCTATACCACATCTATTCATACGACACTTAACACATTACTTGTATGCCTTGTCGTGGTCTTATTAGCAAGTTTTCACATGTTATACGTGTAGGCGCGTGTTTTGCTACAAACTGGAGGCGGACGCGCGTCGCTACCTTTTGCGGTATTTCGTGACGGTGGCAACGCAGAGCGACGAGTTTCTGCACCTACCGCTGGACGAGCTGAATGCCATCATACTGGAGGACGAGCTGAACGTGAAGAGCGAGGAGGCGGTGTGGGATGCGGTGCTGCGTTGGGTCAACTATGAACCAGACCAGCGTTGGCAGCATACCGTCAAACTCATGGCTAGCATACGACTCGGCTTATTGGATACACAAGTAAGTACAAAAATGAAACTATATATAGCAAATCCTCTCAGCAAAACATCCTGTCGGAATCTACTTAAAAATGTGGTCAGGCCAAACCCTACGTTTTACATATTTTTGGTTATGGATTTTAGGTGTATAATCGCTTTTAGTGACAAGCAAATGCTGCCAAGATGATAATTTGCATAAATAATTTTTATTTACGATTTAGTTATTCCTTTCTATTTGTGTACTAACTAAAATAATTTTGTTTTGAAGTTTTTTCTAGAGAATGTAAAGGACCATCCATACGTGACGGGGAACGAGGGCTCGCGGCCGATCATTATCGAGACGCTAAAGTTCCTCTACGATTTGGAAATGATTGCTCAGAGAGACGGCGAGGTCGCCACGCCGGAGATCGCACGCCCAAGGGTGCCGCATGAGGTAGGCATATAGTCAAATAACTCAAAACAAAACTTAAAAAATCTGATTTATATTGATACATTATGAATTATTTAGGTGTTATTCGCTATCGGTGGCTGGAGTGGCGGCTCTCCCACGGCTTTTATTGAAACGTACGATACACGCGCAGATCGTTGGATTAAGGTAAAGAAATTTAAATGCTTTATTATATGCCTTAAGTACAGCATAAGGTAAAATCTAAAGGTCTGAATCTGTCTAAAGGTAGAGGAGGTAGATCCTGCTGGCCCTCGTGCGTATCACGGTACGGCGGTGTTGGGTTACTGTATCTACGTCATAGGCGGCTTCGACGGCATGGACTACTTCAACTCGTGTCGATGCTTCGACGCTGTGAACAAAACGTGGCGAGAGGTACAATCATTTATTTTTTTGAATTCAGTAATTTCCCAGATAGGAAAAATAGTTTTTTATCTACAAAACACAAATTCATATGTCGAGATTCTTATTGGTCTTTTACGAATTATAGTACAAGAGGGTGAGTTTAAACTCTATGTTTAAAAGAAATCAAAAAGCATTCTATTTTAAATATTTAGTGTAGTTAATAAACCATCTCTTACATCTATAAGTCGTATTTCTTGATTTTTTATATTATCACCAGCTCACTATACGTCCCCACCGAGGGGCTCGGAGCCTACCCTAAAGTTAGGGTGACTAGGCCATAGTCAACCACGCTGGCCAAGTGCGGGTTGGTTGACTTCACACATATTTTTGAATTTCTTCGCCGATATGTGCAGGTTGCATCACGATGTTTTCCTTCACCGTAAGAACGTCGGGTAAATTATGTACATATGAAAATTCGAAAAATCGAAAATCACATTGGTACACGGCGGGATTCGAACCCAAGACCTGTAGATTACAAGTCAAGTGTTCAAACCACTGAGCCACCGACGCTCTATTTCTTGATTATTTAATTCATATTTCTTTAGTTAACGAAGTAATATTAACACCAGGTGGCACCAATGAACGCGCGTCGCTGCTACGTGTCAGTGGCGGTGTTAGGAGAGACGATCTACGCGATGGGTGGTTACGACGGTCATCATCGGCAGAACACCGCCGAGCGATTTAATCATCGCACCAACCAGTGGTCGCTGGTAGCGCCTATGAATGCACAGCGGTCAGACGCGAGCGCTGCAGCACTTGATAGTGAGTACACTCTACATAGGGATACTTCTCTCGAGAGATCTTGATACATATGTAAACCTAATAGTTACCCACTTCTTCTTCTTCTGCCTCTCCAACTAGCTAAGGTTGACAGTCAGTTTTTTTGGACAAATTTGACTCTATCTCTTGCGAAATAGTTACCTTCTGGAGATTGTTTGTTCTTTGTTAATCGGTGACCAACTTATTAGTACCAAAATCCATGGAAATTGCGTTTTCTTAAATATGCTTACTGTTATTTTAAAACCTGTTAGCTTTTCATTAGGTGTATATTTTTGATTATGTCAATAGTATGCTTGTTGTCGCAGACAAGATCTTCATCACGGGCGGTTTCAACGGTCAGGAGTGTATGAACAGCGTGGAGGTGTACGACCCCGACACCAACCAGTGGACAAACCTGGCGCCGATGCGGTCGCGCCGCTCCGGCGTCTCCTGCATCGCTTACCACAACAAGGTATCTAGGTACATCCGTTGTTGCTGTCATCTTATATTCAACAACTACTTCATAACTGTTAAGAAGAAAATCTGCGCAACACTAGATCATTGGCATAGACGTCCCGTCCCTATGACAGCTGTCAATGTCATTCAGAATAATTAAAAATAACGCGCCATTCTGGCGGGATCAGTATAAGCGGTATCAGATCGGGAATGCTACAGTATGACAACGGAAAAATGGAAATCAAAAGCAGCAAATCTAGGATATTGTTTATGACAAAAGTTTTTTTAACACCTATGATGTCACTTGTATTTGGTTGTTACAGATATATGTGATAGGCGGTTTCAATGGCATATCTCGGATGTGCAGCGGAGAAGTATACGACCCCGCGGCGAACACGTGGGCGCCCGTACCGGACATGTACAATCCGCGCAGCAATTTCGCTATCGAGGTCATCGACGACATGATCTTTGCTATCGGTGGCTTTAACGGCGTTACCACCATCTACCATGTCGAGTGCTACGATGAGAAGACTAATGAATGGTAGTAGATATTATTATGATACACAATATTACATAGCCGTCGAGTTACAGAAAAACACAAAATATAAAAATATAAATATGACTGCATACTCATCATCATCTTCCTCCTTATTCTACTCCCGTAGGGCCGCCGCAGCAAGTTTTTGTCCTCAAAATGACTCTATCATATGTCATCTTAGTCATCACTCACTTTTTGATAATGTCACCTTTCACGCAATCCATCCATCTCTTTATAGGTGTACCTTTATCGGTGTACCCTTCCACACTCATAACTAACGGTCCTACTAACTAATAAAAATCACTGCATACTGTTAGAGTGTACCGCAAGTAAAGCCGGATGAGGGAAAGATCAATGTCTTTGAAGACCCTGTATAGAAGGATACGGGGTAATAGATATACCCAACAGTGCAGTAAGCAGTTCATAGTATTGAATTAGTAAAAATTTGAAGATACATTTTAAAAGTGTTTAATTTAGGTATGAGGCAACGGATATGAACATCTACCGGTCAGCGCTGTCGGCGTGCGTGATAATGGGTCTGCCGAACGTGTACGACTACATTCACAAGCACCGCGAGCGACTTATGGAGGAGAAGAGGCAGAAGATCCTTCTCTCGGAGACAGCGCGTCACGGACAGCACCGCACCGCTCTGCCTGATGTTAGTATATCGCCTTGTTAAGAAGTACGATGTTGATGAAAATGAAAAGCTAGTTTTAGTCCTTTCCACCCTTTTCTCAAAAGTAAAGGATGGGAAGGTAAAGTGGATTTGACGGTGGAGGAGACGCATAGGAAGGGGAAATGTCCTCTTTATGTGCGTCTCCTCTTCCGTCAATTAAGGGTAGGCAACGCATCTGCAATTGCGGATGTTTATGGGCAGCGGTCGCTTTCCATTTCGGTGTATTTAGGTGGCGGCTTGCTCGTTAGCCAGCAAGCAAGTGTCTGATAATCACAGTTACGTTAGGCGCTACTTTATCTATTAGATGTTTCTCTCTTTCTCTCTCTCTCTCTCTTTAGGAGCGCTCTCGATCTTTGTAATTTAAAATGACATTACTGACGAGTACGATTTTTATTAATACAACTACCTCTAGAAATATTACATCTGGTAGATGTTAGCTTCTTTCGTTGTTAATATAACTAAGCCTTCATACGCGTGCATATATCTAAATTTTAGATATGCTTGTACTAGCTTTCGCCTCCGACTCCGTCCGCGTGTAATTAAAAACACAAAAGTGAGTAGCCTATGGTTTCATCCAGACTATCCTCTACATCTATACCGAATTTCACCGGAATCTGTTCAGCTATTTAGGCTACAAAGTCTAACAAACATCCATCCATCCATTTAAACTTTCGCATTTATAATATTAGTATGATTAAATCTATCTACTAGTTATTGCCGTTATTGTGTTTACTGAAAAGGATTGGAGTAAGTTCTATAAGATAATGGATCCTTTCGTTTAAAACCTGGATGCCTTCACGAGTAGGTTAATCCTAAATATTTCTGCTACGTAACTGAGCTGTTAATATGAGCTCGAAATAATATTGCATAACAATTATCAATCACGCAAGGTTATTGGATGTCATTAATCTTTTTTAATAAGTTAGTTATCAATGGTTACATGCGTTTTAATAATGTTACAGATTCTTTGAGTCGCGACCTTAAGAATAAACTTGGTCATGACATTTTATTACAATACTAATATAATTCGTTTTTTTATGAGTTTACAATAGTTAGATAATCTGATTATCAACTAGGTAGTAGTTGTGCATAAGTAGTGTCGGTTTATGTTCTACTAACGTAAACTTTAACGGCCTCTATCTTTCTATGACTAGGGGTAGAGGTAGTACTACCCCCTAGTCATTGTCTGTTAGGCGCCCTGGTTGGTCGCCCAATCCTTCCTTACCCTAATGACGATACCGTACATACGCGTAGACACAAAATTCTAATTGCATAAGAAAATACTTGGAACTATTATTTTAACAAACATTCAAATTAAAATTTAACTTATTTTAGACTAATTTGGCAGACGTAATTTAAAGTAGACGTTGGTATTATATGTTATAAGACTTCTAATCTAATAATATTATACTTTGTCTATTATCAAGAGAATATTAGTTTAATTTTGCGTAATAGAGTTGTATCAAATGTTATCAATACTGTTTAAGATAAATCCAAATATTGGTATATTCTTTTTTATTTCAAACGTAAATTGCGAATTTCCAAGATGTTTTGACGTAATCATTTTTTGATAGCGGTTACTTCTTTATCTATATGTCGAGAGGTACCTTAGTGAGGTCAGTTAACAGAAATTACCAAATTCAGAAACGAGAAACAATAATACGAAGAATACATTTTTAGAAATGTATAACTAGACCGTGGTAGGAAGAAAAGCCTTGATGTTTTTACCTCTAATCGCCAAATAACTAAGTATTCTAAATCTCTAGATAATCTTTATGAATATAAAAAATAAATTGAAAACCTTTTTGGCCTTTTCGTTTCCCTAAATATTGTGTCTACATGAACATGACTAATATCGAAAATATACAACATCAATTTACTTATTATTTACCTACGCCAGTGGAAATCATACATGCTAGCTAAAACTGGATTTTAGGATTTAAATTGCTTAGGTCCACTTGATGGAAGATAACGACGACATGCTGGAGCAGCTGGGGCTGATGGAACACCAGGCTAACAACAACCTGGCGATACCGCCCCCGCCGCCGCCGCCTCTGCCGCCGCAGCCTATGGAGCAGGATAGGAACTGAAGCCGCGCTCACCGACACTCATACATCCCTGGTAACTCGAACTAAAGTTATTTTTTTATAATAAAAGGGGGCGAGAACACTGAGGTAGTCAACGACGCCCAGGGACATGCAACACCAGAGGAACTACAGATGCGTTGCCGGTCTTTGAGGTAATAATAGGCTCGCTTCTTGAAGGACCCTAAGTTGTGTTGGTTTGGAAAAATTGTTTTAAAGTAGAATCATCCCGTACTTATGCAGGGAGCGAGTTAGTTTCGGGAGAGGTTTCTTTTGAATAGAGAGAATAACCGCGTATAGTTATATGGTAATTTATATATTTTTTTGTTTAGGTAATGCTCAAGTCCAGTCAGTACGGTATGCTGATTTGTAAGCCATCGAAGACGGAAAGTATTATACAAAAGTAAGATACAATATAGTCAAGTTATTAGTTTTGTAAAATTATAACGTAACTGGTAATTTTTAACATATTTACATTTGTTTTTAACGTTTCTGGCATATTTATAATGTGATATTTCGTAATGCGAATCATTTCTGTATTTTTGGATCATTTTTGACGATTGTATAAATTTTTTCTGAGAAATATATGCTATAAGAACAATGTCGCTTTATTTTTTTTAATAGTCACACATTTTCTATACCTACTTTTTAATACTGAAATTGAAGTATTTTTAATTATACAACAGGACTAAAAACATGTTAAATTATGCTTGCTATTTATTATAACAGTTTGTTTTTCAAACAAAAATATACAATACTTAGATGTGCTGAAGAAAAAAAAGTTACAAATCACTGTTTACTTTAAAACGATACGACTGTATTAACAAACAAATAATTCGGTAATATAAAATGGCAGTTAATATAACAACTTTAAGTTCGTTATCAACTTTCAGAGTGTTCACATATCACAGATGTAGTCGGGCTCGTGCAGCACCGCGTCACTGATCGCCGCGGCCTGTACCAACTTCTTGACAGCCTTGTCCGATGTGAAGTGTTGCCACGCCCTCTCTGTCCACACCACAGCAGAGAAACAGGCACCGTTACTCACGAAAGCCCGCAAAGTGACCGCTCCGAGGCCGCGTCCCATGCAGCGCCAACCTTCACTCTGTATCGACTTCAAAAAACAGTCCCAAGCGCCCACGTATCTTCCGATCGCATCACCTTGTATACGGGATTTTACGACGTCAATCGGATACAATAAAACCCACGAGAGGGCGCCGGCCACGCCCCCCGCTGTAAAAACTCTCAAGGCGGACTGGTTCCCTCTAGTCATCACCTCGTAAGATGTGAAATAAATAGCAAACGCGGGACTGTCGCGAACCGCTGTAATGCTCAGGCCGCGGAAAAGTGCTTTAAAACCTCCCGTTTGAAGGATATATCTAGCACCCGCCCACGCCCCCTTGGGCATACCTTCACCCGCTGTAGCAAGTTGCTGTCGTGTCTTCACTAGTTCGACTGGTGCACAAATGACACTTTGCATCAGGCCTGCTGATGCACCAGCTGCGGCGTGCGTTGTTAGTGAGTCAGGGTTGGGTAGCGCTCTTCTCGTGTTCCCATATGCGCCGAATACTATCGCGTTTACTGCTGCTATTCCTCCCAGCGGTGCCCATACGCCGCGGTACGCCGTCGACAATGTCCCGCCTTTCAAAAGCGTCTTCGTACATTCCCAAGCGCTTCCTCGGCCCGATTGTATGTGTACTTTCAAAGTGTCCAACGGATGTCCCGCTATAATACCAACACTACCTGAAAGGCACAGATTATTGTATATTTAAAATGATTTTGGATTTCATATCGTATTCATATTGTTCGAAGCTACACATACCTCCGATGCATCCAGCTACAAAATCCAGAGCCATATTTATTGAAACCTTGTGCAGTCGAGTGCGATCTGCAATACAAAAAAAAGTAAGTAAACACGTCCTTTCTATTTTCACCGGTAACAAACATTTTTTTCTGTGTTTTTAATTAAACACCAACATTCTCAGGTGTGGACATACAGGATCGGAGCACGCACGGACGTCATGCCCGCAGCAGTTTGTGCGACAACAATAGCGGTTTGGACCGCTTAACTATCAGCGTAGTGTTGTTGTTATATTTAATAATATTCCGATAGTTAGCACAGTTGACCTGCGATAAGACGAAATTGCAAAGAAACCTTACCTCTGTGTTGTTCAAATTAAATAATCGTAGTGCGAGTTAACGTTGCCACCACTGGAGGTGATGCCAATGAACATGTTGCCGCTGGCTGGATGAGGCGGGCTCCTGAAGCGGTTGCGGCGAGTGCTGAGTACCGACGATCTGCTCAGACAGCGGTCACCGAGCGTCTCCCGAGCCTGCCCGCTCGATATACTTCCACGCACATATCACTTTGGGGTCACCCTTATCTTAGGGGGCATTATGCGTCTTGTTTCAACTCCCATTTCTCGCTGCTTCATGCATGTTTTACTATATTTTTCTTTGTTTATTTTTACTGTATTTCATTGCTTTGAATTTCTCAGAATATGGACTTTTTGTTACTTATCGAAATTAATTTCAGAAGTTCAAACATTTGTATTCGATTTGATTTTGATTTCGATACAAGACTATTGATAGTTTGCAATTATCTTATGTAGGTGAAAGTTCATTCCAACTTCCTAGTTGCTAAATTAATTATTTACATGCAGTGCAGTATAGTTATAGTCGTCTGCAAATATTTTGCTGCTCATTCGGTTATGTTGGGATAGTCTTTAAAATCTACAACTCATTAAGTTGGAGATTGTGAAGTTTCCATTTCTTACGGACGAATGAGCGTACCAGTGTGCCACGCCCGCCGTTTACGTTGTTTTCGCGGTTTGAAATCGCGATCCGCTAAGGCATGACTGTTATACAGTCAGCTCCATAGATATCTATACACTAGCTTTCACCCGTGACGCCGTCCGCGTAGAATTATCCATACATCCGTCTAAACTTTCGCATTTATAATATTAGTATGATTTCTATACGCTTTCGGTTTCAAAAATATATAAGCGCGTGTGATTCGGTACGCTTCCGACCAGGAGTATCTATAAACTTTGTAAACTTTTGTAAATGTACGCATATTTATGTAGCTGACTGTACAACGTCGGTGCTTATCATTTCGTTGTACGTTTAATTTAGTGGGTGTGTGTAATGATAAATGTAAAAATTAGCAACGCGATTTCAATTGTAAATATTTAAAGTTGATGGGTAGTTCAAAAGAAATCGTATTAATTGTTTGCCTCATTCTTTTTGCTTAAACAACTAACCATATGGTTCAAAAGCGGGAACACTTATGTTGAGCTAGTACTAAACCTGTCTTTTTTTAAGAAAATAAGTCATAGCATTTTAATTTTATGTTTTTGCTACAGCTCTGCTAAAGTTATCCAACCATCCATACATAAAGTCTAACATTCTTATATCTTGACTAGCTGTTGCTCCCGACTTCGCCCGCGTGATTTACCTATTACCTTCTCCCTTTTTTTCAACCTATTGCTAAAAGTATTAACTTAGAAGTAATCTACGTAATAACAGAAATCTACCGATGCAAGATACCAAATTTCTAAGCCCGGTAGCTTGTAAGGTGATTTTTCGGTTACCCTTATTGTTTGTGTTCGCGATATCTTCTAAACTATAAGTCCAATTTAAATATTATTAAGGACAATTTTATTCTACATTAAATTCTTCTAATAACAAACGCATTTATTTGGATAAGAATTAACATTGAAACCATTAAAAGAACGCTGCAAATAGCGTGAGGTTTTTAATTCATTTTGTAAACAAAAAAATGGTTATTGTAAGAAAACCGTTAAAGACAGATATATGCTATCGCGGACTTTTCTATAGAACTTTTTAAAATCTACAATTCTTTCATACATCAATTTTATATACCACTAACGGTTTAGGCAGCGTAAGCCGAAAAAAGTTAAAGTTTACTGAATTTTTTACACGCTGTTTATTAATAGTTCCTAAACATTAGTAATAATAAAATATAGCCTATGTTACTCACAGATAAATTTCCTTTCGGAATTTTTAAAATCGGCCCAGTATTTTTAGAGTTAATTCAATACATACAAAAATACAAAATACAAAGTTTTCCTCTTTATAATATTAGTATAGATTTAGATAATAAGAAAATTGAAATCTTTTCAAAATTCCATATTGTGATTCTTAAAAATGTTTACATATTTAATTTCATCTTTAATCTCAACTTGATAAGAGTTTATTCAGTCACGATGACTGTCATTCCAGTTTAGCTTTAATAGATTGAGATCTGAGACCAGGATGACGACACCCAAATTCTAAAACTTTACTGTTATATGATTATATAGTACTCGTTTGCGATGTAACTGAATTGCCATTAGTTATCCTGTCCAATGGGGCAGCTACGGGCTATCACGCTCTGAAGTTTGTAAAAAACACACCTAAGTTCACTTATTTTCACAAAGCTGAAAACCGCATCTGCCCCTTTAGACAGGAAAACTAATGGCCATTCAGTTACATCACAAAGGAGTACTATCTAATCAAATAACAGTAAAGTTTTAGAATTAAGGTGTCGTCATCCTGGTCTGGGATCTCAATCTATAAGTGTGTAAGTACTTATCCGCATCAGAAAAGTTTAGAACGGTTGGGTACTTAATTACAGTGCCATACAAATGTAGCAACTAGCAATTTTAGGCTAGATGCAGGCCGAAACTTGTCAAAATACTTGCAGCTAGCTTATTCTTCGTAAAAAAACCGGTGTTTACTTTACTAGTATATTAGACACGCAATTTTTTTTTACATTTTTCAAAGATTATGTGCAGAGCTGTACGTTGCCTTATCTTCGTTGAACTTACCGCCAGATAGTCGATGTTAACCTCTCACCTTTAGTATCCGAGATTGTGATGAAATTGTTTTTCATAGAACGACGCGAACAAAAGTTTTGCTTCGCGCTTTTGGTCACTGACATCTACTCATATATCGAAAACATAAATTTTACAAAGGACAAAGACATTAGATAATAATGAGCATTTTAGTTATGACTGGACTAAAAATATGCCAAGTACAATCTGAAAAAGAAAGTAGACCAGATCTACTTTTTGCAATGATTGCATTACATCTAAATCTGAATGTATCATATCTCGCCTCAATTTGACAATAAATATGTTTAAAATCGTAAACAATATAAATCTTAAAAATAAAGGGCTTCATAATTTGTATTAAAAGGATTTTAAAGCCCTCTAAACTCCTTCAATTTTAACTGCACAGCTTATACTGAACATTTAAAACAAAGTGGTTAGCGAACGTTAATGGTTTCAAATAATGATTGACATTCGAAATAACCACCAAAATATTTTTTACTTTATTTTCACATAATACGTATGAATGAGAGTAATTTATTACCCGTACAGAATTATTAATGAATCTAATTATGAACTTAATGTAAATGTTATTGTACAATGGTAGGTATACGGTTATCAATCAGTCAAGTCGATATAATTTAGATTTATGAATATGTTTTCTATTTACATTTTAACCTTGAGACGGATAATAAAATCGGAGAATGCACAGAGAAATAAATAAGGGATAATTCATTTTTTAAACAAAGTTTTAGCTAAGTAATTAACTTTTTAATATCGACAAACTCAACAATTATAATTAAACGAGAATATCTTGATTGTGTTGCATTGAAACATTTTCTTCCTTTTTATTCTTCTAGTATTGCGGATCTCCAAGAACGTGGTGTACCTGGGTACCAGAATAAATATATTCTCGATTGACTTAATGAAAGGGCTTATTACTTTCACTTGACCTTTTTATCTTCTATTAACGTGTACGTGTTGCATCACTGTGCCCTTTTTTTATCGTGGAGTGGCCTTACGCATACTACCCTTGCAAAGATAAGGGTGGCAAAGTCGGATTTGCGCCGAATAAAATCCCACGGTGGTCTTCAACTGCGATATTAGGGAACCGCAGGATCTCCAAATGGAAAACTACCGCCGCCCCCCAAGACGCTTTGCAATTAAATAGTTGTCCTCCTACTATAGCCACCGGTCACTTCTCGGGGATGCACTACCGGGGGATCTGGGCCCTAAACCTGACCATTTGCAACCCTAAAAATTTGCTAGATATGAATTAAGGGAAAACCCGCGTCATTACTGACGGTCTCCGCGAGGCGCACCAAGGCCACGAGGGCGACGTCTTTTTGCGGGATCTGCTCTGACACGAGACCGCTCAGCAGCTTCCTTTTTTACAATCAAGGTTTTACAGAAGGAAGCTACTGCTCTCCAATTCGAAATCTCATTCAGGCATCAGTGTGCCCTTGATCGGCACTTACCTCCGAGAAAAATTAAAAAACATTGTAAATTAAAAGGTCAAACTTAAGCACCGTCTACTTTGTGCTCTACTCTTTGCAAATTGAGTTTGACAATTAAGTGACATTGTGACAACTGTCAATCAAAAGGACGTTTAAATGTAAATACAGGAGTTGAATTTTTAATTATCAATTAATGTTATTTCAAAATGAAATAAATAAAATGTGTAATTTGAACAAAAAACTCAAAATTAAACGAAGCGGGTGTATGTGAACGAAATTTTAAAAGGTACGTTAAGATCGTTTAAATGTTTAATGTGTTTGAGCAATGAAAGCAGTGGATAAACTGCAATTTAATCTTATGGAAAAGGATATAAAAGTAATTAAAAAGGCGAATGACATGTCTATGAAACCCGAAGATATACCCGGATTAATAGAAGAACATTATGAAAACGAAACGGAGGAAAAAGATAATTCGAGTGAATTAAACATTGAACATCTGTGTCGAATATGTTTATTAACAAGAAAAACTTTGTTTACTTCATTATCTGAGACTTGCGAAGATTTACTTGATATGTATTTTGCTGTAACATCAATAAAAGTAAGTAATATCATTTTACACTGATATTTCTAGGACAGCAGTTAAATAGAAAAGCAAATGGTCTTAGAAAACTTTCTCTGAGAGTTTTTTATAATCAATTTTGGAAAAAGAAGAACTGGTAAGAAAGACAGTTCTATCCTGATTATAAATGATAAAACCAAACACTTGATACTGGCCCAATCTGTGACGGAAGTGCCAAAGACAAGAAACTAAACTGTTGATAAAACCATATAAATAAAGTTGTATGTTTTTTAATTTTCAGGTTGATAAGGAAAGTTTTATATTTAAGATATGTGAAAGATGTAAAATGGATCTTACATTTTTCTATGATTTTAAAAACAAATGCCTAAAATCTGATTTAATTTTCAAGACCCTCATTGATGAAATAAAAACAAATGAAGGTGATGGCACAAGGTACTTACAATGAGAGATGAATTTAAACCTTCAGTTTCCACTTTCAAGTATATAATTTTATATATTTTCTTGTATGAATGATTTATGCATATATTTTCAGACCTACTATTAAAATTGAAAATAGCTGGACAGAAACAGAAGAAGATATTGAGCATGAAGGTATAATTATTTTACAAAAACATTTATTTTTAGACTAAAAAAAAATTTAGATACTGTTAAAGTTAACATGTGTTTTATCATACCTGATATAGGCTCAGATAGCTAAAAAATGATGTCACTGCCAGATAAGATAACAAAATCCGATCTTTCCATCACATATTTTACATGTTGGATTGTTATCAGACAGTTTAAAATTTGGTGGGACAGGCCCTAATATTTACAAAATCTCACTTCATAGGGTTATGCATTACTATGTTTCAATAACCATGATATGACAAAGATCCATACTTCACCATAAAAAATGGGGACATATAGCTTAAATCTATTTGTAACATTCTAAATTTTTTATGCTAAAGCCCTGAGTATTTTTATGATGTAGCCGTTGATTGCTTGACTTATTACAGTCTTTCTTTAACTCTTAGTTGATTAAAGCTATAAGTTAAGATGCCATTATTGTTTATTTACAGATGTACAATATCTGGATGACACCCTTGATTATGATATGGTTGATGACAATGATGAGAGAATCAGTGTAACAATAAGAAGGGAAATAGATACTGCAAAGTGAGTTAAGTTATTTAATCTAAATCTGAAAAAAACGCCCATCCCCTAGTCCATATTTATTCTAAGTAATTTTTTAAAGATCTTGATGTGAATTATATTTAAAAGAGGTTATATATACAGAATTAATTGTGACATTTGTTTTTATTCCACAATAAGTCACAAGCAGCAACTAGTAAATAATATTATAGGTTACCAACATCGAAATACTTATAAAAAAACTATTTTTCTTTCATCAGTAAAGTGTATTTTAAATCCATTGTAATAAACTTTGTTTTTTCGTAGGAATAAACGAAAGGCAAATCCAGGTGAGGTAATAAGTGAGGTGCTATAATGGATGTCATGTAAATTATATTATAATATTCATTTTACCTTCAGATTCAAGACGCCGAAATAAAAATAAATTGAAGCAAAAATATAATTGTGCAATGTGTCCTAAGGTATAATTTAGTTCTTAATCTTACTAGGATATTATCAGTTATTTTGTAACTAGCTTTCGCCCGCGACATCGTCCGCGTTGAAAAAACCAAGTAGCCTATGTGTTCTTCCAGACTACCCTCTACATCTTTGCCACATTTCATTGAGATCCGTTCAGCAGTTAAGGTTACAATCTAACAAACATCCATCTAAACTTTCACATTTATAATGTTAGTAAAAAGTAAGATTACAGCTATATAGCAGTACCTATTGAAAAAGGTAATCATATAAAAAAGCAAATAAAACAAATCATTTGACATACTAGCTGCTAGTGGGTCACCGAAAATATCAATAAAAAAAGTAACATTTTCACCAAACAGCAGTACACTATCATTAATTTTCAATTTTTTATTATTGTTTTTTTCAGAAATTTCTTAAGGCACAAATACTAAAAGATCATATGAAAAGTGAGCATTGGACGCAGCTATCTCACTCTTGCAATCAATGCAACAATTCATTCTCTTCAGAGCATGATTTGCAGCTCCATTTGCCGATACATTCCAAAACTGATGTATGGACTTGTAAGGAATGCAGCAAACAGTTTAATGGTGAGCAGATTTTTTTTCTTATATTTAGTTGATGCTCACAGCACAATCTTACAAAATTACACATATTATAAATGCGGAAATTTAGATGTAGGGATGGATAGATGTTTGTTACAATTTGTAGTTTAAATGGCTGAACCGATCTGGATGAAATTTGGTAACATATATGATAGATGTAGTAGAATTTCACTAAATGGTAGCTGACATAGACGGGCGTGTTATAAACTACTTTTTTATCTTAATAGCTTTTTTTAATAAATTTAATGTTTCACTTTTGAAAATACACATATCATGAGAGCCTTGGTTCCTGCACTAGGTTCCCCTGTGTGTATATTATATTGCGCGGACGAAGCCAGTCAACCGCTAGTCAGTATGTATAAGTGTAAGA